AACCACACCACTCACCAGTGATCGAACTCGCCACCTTCAAGTTACAATGACAGTTCGCTGACCATTTAGACACTCGGATGGAGTCCAATGGTCAGTCAATTCAAACTTCTGCCAATTCGCGATTTTTATCGCCACTTCCAGCCAATGTCATCGGCAAGTATATTTCCTCACACCCAGCTGGTTGAAATTCACTGGTCACGACTTCTCACTAGAACTTTACGCCACTTCTTTCTGTAGTCAGTCACTAGTGAGCACTAGGCGAATTTACAAGTGTTCAGTTAATTTCTACATTAATCACCAACTGAGAACTAATGAAAACCAGGGAGCACTAGGGAGGTGTTTCGTCCTTGTTCAGGACTCTTCAACCTTAAATGTTTCATCGTTACTTAATCTTCAATGTAACTCAGTTTGATATTTAGCTGTAATGATAGGTAGAATTTTGAGTCAGTTGCATTCTCTGAGCTGGTTGATTCAATTGCGAAGCTTTCATCGTCCTTCTAGACAACAGGCTTCCTTCAACGCAGGTTTTAGGATGGAATAAAGTCATTTGAAATCTCCACGAATGAAGATATAATTGTATCTCCTGGCAACCATTGTCCTCACTGGTCGTTCACTTACATACCCCTCTATTGATCATTTTTATTGACTGGGAATTTGAGCATTCTTGTCATGTGACGATTTACTTTTTATTAGTAGCTGGTAAATTTGGATTATAATAATGTTTGTTAGTCGTTGGCTAACTCACTTGAGTAGCAGGCTTATTAACATATTTGAAGACAATAAATTCATAAGAGAAGAAGAATTAGACAGCAAAATCCCACTCTTAGATGTCTTAATCAAGAGAACTAAGACAGAAAATTTAAAAAAAAACAAGTATATAGACAATCAATGCACACAGATCAAATACTCAATTACGAAGGTAATAACTCGATTAAACACAAAAGAAATTGTGTGCAGACATTGTTTAAAAAAGTTCAAACACATTGTAGCACTCCAGTGTTGAAGACAAAAGGAGGGAAAACACTTTCTAAGCGTCTTCAAAGAGAATGGATATCCTCACAATTTCATCAAAAAGTGTTTAAACTCGAGTCATAACACCAACAACAAGAAACCATCATCAAAGACTATACGAAAATTCATCCTACCATTACATAAAAAATATCTCTGAAATAACAGTTAAAATATTAAAATCGTCTGAAATAGAGATAACACACAAGCCAGCCAAACAGCACAATCATCAATTCAATCGATATTGTGCACACCAAAACAGACAACAGGAAAAGAAGACGAATCTTTGTTCATCGAATCTACACCCAACACATGCAATAGGAATGAATCATCACTCATACCTGAAATATGAAAAATAATACTACCAATCAAATCAAGTGAAAAACAATGGAACTATATAAATGAATTTAGGAAGTCGTGTGATTAACTTGATATGATTATGAGCAATAAATTGTGCTCGAAACGTCATCAGTAAATATTACTGTATAACACTGTGAGACTCTATCAAAATAAAATTTACCCATAATGGAATTACACTCTACCACAGTGCCCAAGTTTTATTCTTATATCAAAAGAAGACGAAATTAATACCACTGACAAAATAAATTACATGCATGAACTGCAATAAACATTACATCGGTCGAAGTAGGCGTGCCCCCCTCTTCGAATCCGAATCTAAGAACACAAATCAGCTGTAAAAAGACATTATATATATTCTTTCATGTCAATGCATGTAGATAATTGCGGACGCCGATTTCTTTGGGATAATGTAGAAATTTTCAACAGGCCTAGGAAGCACCGAAAATGCAGTCAGCGAATTTGTGGAACCCTGCTACTCAAGTGAGTTAGCCAGTGACTAACAAACGCATTATTATAGTCCAAATTTACCAGCTGCTAACAAAAAGTAAATCATCACATGACAGGAATGCTCGAATTCCCGGTCAATAAAAATGATCAATAGAGAGGTAAGTGAATAACCAGTGAGGACAATGGTTGCCAGGAGATAAGTTGATTTCATACTAAAACCTGCGTTGAAGGAAGCCTGTTGTTTAGAAAGACTACGAAAACTTCTCAATTGAATCAATCAGCTCAGAGAACACAATTAATTCAAGATCTTCCAACTGAGCTACAAATCTTCTCTATCATTTCAAAATAGTTATAATTAGCTAAAATTAAACAGTTTAGGATGACAATCAGAACTCAACAAAAAGCCTAGCAACAATTAAAGCGTGATCAGGACCCGGGCAGGTGATCCAAGAAGAAGAATGTGCCGGCTGAAAATCTATGCAGAACTGTAGAAGAAAAACCGCGTTATCTGAGTTTTCATCACCTAGTCCTACACTAATTTTCTTATACTGTAATGAACAATAAACACTGTTCAAAATATTCATTCAGTGAATATTGTTGTCTTACAAAAAGACACATCTAATAGCATGACATTACATTGTCATCGGTGGTTCAGCGGTAGAATGCTCGCGAACCACCGGGATTCGCCCCTGGGCCGACGCATTCCTAAATTCTCGATTAAGCGGTAGTAAGCCGAGCAAAGGTTGGGAATAATGCAAGCAACCTCTACCCTGTAAAAAAAAAGGAATAAACACCACTCCTAATGAGACTCTAAGCCTGTAGCTTGAAGCCCTATGTTCCACTCAAAAGGATAAAATAAAAAAGCAGTGCTGTCACACTATCCAAGTTATGTTGTTCTATGCTGAGCATCTAAATGACCGACTCACTTATCAGCGTGAAACACATTGCAGAAAAATGCATCAGTCCAAATTGCCATATGTGAATGTAGGGGAAAAAACGTGGTGAAACTGCACAGGGGGGATATGTAAGGCAAATATAGTAATCATTTGAAAATTATTCAGCATTTTCAGTATCTTGGTGTTAACAAGGCGTGAATACATCCACATCTTTGAGCATCATATCACTAATAACCTCTAGCCATTGTTTCTTAGCATCCCGAAGATCCCAGTCATGTATTCTGCAGTTTCTTGCGGTTCAAACCAACAGTCTCATGCTCTGACTGGATAAAACTTTACTTACATCGGAGCGTAGGTAACGATGTCTGTAAAAGATATCGCTTGCCAACAGCTCACCATCACTGAATTTTTCGAACAAATATTAGAGACACGATCGTGAGTGTATACGCATTTAAACAGAATAACTCAAGCTTAAGGGCTTCGTGTTACACGGACAGCAGTAAAATTCAGACTGCAGAATCCTAGGATAAACAGGCCGGTAATGCTAGAGACGACTCATGGATTCATTTGAAGCACTCTATAATGACTTTAGCGAGACCTATATGTCACCCCATCTGCACAGGAATGTGGTACTGTAGGTGGCAAGGACTTAGTAGTGTCCTGATAACTCTGTTAAACATTACACTAGACAAGGAATACAGGTAAACTTTCCATAATCTCCCTAATTCATACAAGATGTGATATATTACACAGCCAACCAAACAGAAGCAGATAATGGCCAAAAAGGATTACTGCTGGCATCCACTACTTCAAATGTCATTCACACTTTGAGATGAGCAATGTGCACTTTTCTAATTGGGCAGTGAACAAGATAAGCTGGTCATCTTTGTTCCTAAAGTCCTGCAAAAGTAATGCTATAATGGCAATTCAAGAAAGCTGGATACCTAGATTCTTAAGAAACATATTATTTCTCCCGTAATTGCAAGTTTTTTTCCACGTAAATACGTCATGCAGTTTTTGTCCATTTTTATGTACTTATGAATTTACTGCAATATATATCCTCATCGAGTTCATTTCAGGTTACTGTCCTCAACTCATAAAACAATCCACATCAACTGCAGTAAATGGATATCCGAATATTTAACAAGTTCCAATTCAAATTTTTACAGCAAACTAGAAAGTGAAACCAAACACTTTGAAAACGAGCACAACTTGTGAACTGCATAGAAATTAGGGGATTCAACAGACAGGCATAAGCTTTTATTTTGCTTTGGTACGACCCTCTCCCTTGTATCTTTTTAACTTTAAAACCCATTACGTCAGTCATTGTATATTCTCAGAAAATTGATCACAAAGCTGTTTCAGTTAGGTAATGACTGAAAACGACAGTATACCTTTCGGACGGTTGTTTCATCTTGTTTGAGACTCTCCAGCAGTACCCACGCATAACCACACCACTCACCACCCTCAGGTTATACGGACAGTCCGTTGGCCATGTGGACACTCCGACGGAATCCAATGGCCCATCAATTCCAACTTCTGCCCATTTGTGATTTTCATCGCCACTGTCATCGACGAGTATTTGTACTCACACCCAGTTTGTTGGACTCCACTGGTCACGAAATCTCCACTAGAACTACAGGTGACTCCATTCGGTAATCTTTATTGAAGTCAGTCAAACTCTTGCAAGCCATCACTCGAAAATTAATCTAGTGTTGGTTATTCTCCCTAGTGGTTAAGCAAATATTTAAACATCGATCATAGCACTTAAAACTAGGCGACAGTTCGTATTTCATTATGCTGTAAACTCCTTAATGTTGACTTTATTTCACTTCTTCCTATAATAAGCTATTGCTAATTACAAGATTGGTATTTATTGACACTAATTATAAATACAGCGTCATACAGAGACATAAAATGCTTTCACTGAAAATAGGCTGTTTCTATTTTCACGGAACTTAATTGTCTTCATGAGTTTAAAACACAACCTTAAGTTATTTCTGCATTTGACTCCAAGGTACTAAGGGGGCAAAAATACTCAAACTAATTCAAAAGCTGAACGACGCGTCGGTGGTCCAATGCTCACAATCCACACATGTGTGGTTCGAGTTCGACTCCCGGCAGACGCACTGTTTAACATCACCTTTAGTCGAATAATAAAAAGGGATGGTTAGGTGTGAGGCTAGTAACCCTATCTTGTTACTGAAACAAAGCACGATTGCTTCTTAGATTTCAAGACCTGAAGCCCTATGCTGCACTTAGAAGACAGATGAATAAAAAAAAGTAGAAGTTGAACAGCATAGTATTAAAATATCTGAAAGATGAGTCTTTCTTAAGGTTGTGATTATATTCTCAGTTACAGAGATTCTGTATGTCAACAACGTGAATAAGTCAAATACACTACCTCCTCCCCTCACCACCCACCGCATTTATGAGACAATAAATAAAGAAAAAATCTTTTCACAATATTCATTGAAGAAAACAAATCCATCTGAAGGCTGGTTTTAAACACTTCAGGGGTATCATATGATCATTGATCCATTATTGGAAGAAAATAAAAGTACGACATGCACATACACATACACGCTTCCGCAGACACACACACACATACATCACGAAAAAAGAATTGGTTTTAACACATTTGAACAGAGGTGTTTCCGACAAGACCAGTGATCTTTCCTCCTTCTCTCTGTTTATGTGTGGAGACTGGGGCATTAATTAATTTTGGAAAAAAAAATAGAGGTATGCTTCAGCGCAATGAGGGCGAAAGATAAAGAAATAGAAGTCAAGAAACACAGAATGAAACGTACGCACACACACACACACACAGAGATGCTCCCTCATATGGAATGAAATTATCTGAGTACACACCAGTGAGTTAATGTGTCATCATTTTCTCGCTAGCATATATAATACTAATGCTTTACACGTGTTCTAAAGAAAGTAACAAGAAATTATACCATCACAACTTTGAAATTCGTACTGATGAAATTTCTCTGAAGAATAAATAAATTTGGCACATCTATATATGTGTGTGTGTGTGTGCGTGTATTGAGAAAGAATACAGAATACTGAAAAAAGTACAACTAACTAAAGTAAATTTTATAATCTGTTTGACACTTAATACATGTGTATGATGCAGAAATGTGTAAACGAAACCAGTAAGAAAAGAAATGTCTAAAGAGTAGAGAGAGATTGGAAGAACTTCCACTCTGTTACTTCATTCAACTGTTTATTTGATCATTAAGCATTCAGCATAACACTTTTGGTAATACATATCACCAACAGATCATTTACAGAACAAACCGACCCAAAAATAAACCAATGAGTAGGGCTAAAATTAAGTATAATATTGGTGGGATATTGCTTAGGGCTCCGGTATTGATCGCATGATGACGACCACTGCCACCGGATTCTGCAGGCATACGGCATGTAGCTGAGACAGCTGTACGTCGTAAATGAAGATCCGACTCCTGAAAATGAATGGAATTACAAACACAGCATAGAGTGAGGAAAAATTATACATGAAGCTTTAGTAAAAAAGAACAATATTTATCGCTGACTCCTTACGTCGTTGTATTGAAAAGTTGTCAAGGTAATTTAAACTAAAGAAAAAAACAACTACAAATACACTTTTTGCAAGAGGTTAGTTACGCATGTAACACATGGATCCAGTCTTACCACACTTTGTAAAGATATCTTTAAAGCAACTTCAGGAAAGGGAAGAAAATGTCAGTTATGAAAGGGGAAATTCAGACTTTACGAAAACGGTCATATCAGAGCACATTCGTAGGCATTAAAATACGTCAGCTATTTAGCTTTGTGTGAACGGGTATTATGAATAGTCATGACGTTACACAATTCTATAAACAGTTACTCATTTAAAAGTATCCTATAACAGCCAGAAAAACAGATGGTAACTGGAAGTCTACATAATGCAAAAATGTGTGAAACTAATAACTGTACTTTATCCTAATGAAATGATGGGAATTGCCAGGTTGAAATGTGCCTGTTAAGATTACGTGACTAAGGCTTTGTTACAGTCATGAACGAATGTTTAACTGACGCCCAGAATTCTCCAGATGTTTGGAACTGATAGCTGTACTGTTGGTTACTTGAATCGTTTGGACTGGAGAATCAATACACCCGCTACTATCTTCACCTTTTTGCTTATTTCCCCTGAGCGTTACTAAATTACCCTTTTTTCTCTCTTCTGTAGTACCATTCCACATCTCTTCGCCATTTTCTACAATTATATTTTGAATTGTGGCAAGTCAGTACGACAGACCAGTGCAGAACCTTACACAATAAAATTAGTCGGACTTGCTGTATATGAAAAAAAGGAATAATAGTACAATGAACAAATGTGTGTCAGTAAAGGGGATAAATAAATAAATACTAGTGAGTGTTTGGAATTTCGGAAGTTGTAAAGAGTGAATACACCACTATTCCAGATGACGTAGTTAACAACTATTCAACCAGTGGGAATCCTGCCAGGCACTCTGCGCTTTCTTGCATGGGTTAGCCAATACGTAATATATCCCCGTTTGAAATTATGTTGTAAAACGGTTGAGTATACTAAGCACTAAATAACTGAGTTCTTTTCAGGTAACCTGTCGAAGGAATAACAGGAGACACATCACATCGTTTATGAGATACAGACTACCAACGAGACGTCTTAATGTTCTTCATAAAATTTGCGTACCGTGCAACAATCCCATCTGTGACATAGCTGTCTAGTTATCCATCAAGGAAGAACGAGTCAGTAAATTCCTGGTCGAGCTGTCCCTTACACAGTAGATCATCACTATGAAGACGCAGACCTGCTACATTATAGCCACCAAGAGATGTGCCACACAGAATCATGCGGCTTATGCAGGGACTGGGATACCACCCGGACGCTGAGACCGAAGCAAGTGGTTATCGTAAGAGGCCAACCCCACTCTTTGACTTGAAGTCTGATTCACAAGGCAGTGGAGCAGTGTCAGCAGCTATGTTCCCATGGTTATCGGTGACATAAACAAGTTCATACGCTATTCGATCCTTTCGGATTCTGGAGCCGACGTACGCTAACTTCTCTACACATATACCTGCATGTTCACCAGTAAACGCCAGACATCTGCATTTACCCCACCGCCACCTCGTGAAGGCAGCAAATAGTACTTACTTGACAGAGGCTGTGAAGACGTGGTTATGTGAGATTTAGAGAGGAAGACCAAAGTCCACCCACCAGGGACCGTACCAGATCATTTAAGGGGCAAAATATTACTTTAAATCTCGAAACACGCTGCGACTGTATCAAGCAATGCCATTATGATTTATACAGGCTCGGCGACTAAATTCTTACAAAACATCCGCAACAGTCTAAATATTTGTCCTTTGAAACCAATTCACTTATACTCTGAAATGCTTTAGCTTGATACTTGGAAACTAAGCCTCTTAGAGCAAAGAAACTGAATCATGGTCCTGTAGGGAATAAAACGACTTTGTCTCTCAAAACACTTGGTTTGGATGAAGTTAGACTGCGCTCTACTAGATTCAAACCATGCTTATTATTCAGTTATATTTGGTGGTTGTTTTGCATTAGAGATTTGCGAAAGCAACTGCGGATAACACGGGACTTGTCATAAAATTGAATTAGTTTCAGTATCCACAATGTCTGTCTGTCTGTTTTATACACAGAACTTTGCACCGACGTGCAGCAGTTCAAGTCGCCACACTACATGTAGCATACAAAGCAAGAGAAGAAAGTAGAAATGCATAATAGAGACAGTAAACAGGGATATCAGACAAAGGAATAGTAATAACGAAGAACAATATAGTCTCATTGGAAATTATAAGTCACAAGGAGTGGATGCATCTGCGCCACTGCGAACGATTTTGAGCCATATCACTGATTGTCGCGAGCCATTCGTTTTTACCGTCCCGAGGACCCCAACCAGGAAGTCTACACCTTCCTACGTGGCTTAAACTAATTGTTGTGGATTTCATTGCCTGGTGCCATGTTTTGGTTTGACCACCATGTGCTAGCTCTTTTCCAGCCTGACCCTATGTCAACTAACATTGCCCGTCGAAGAAGGCGATGACCAGGAATACGTGACACATGTCCTTACCATCTCAGTCAATGTAACTTCACAGCCTCGTCAATTGATTTCCCCTCCTTACCTAGTACTCGACGCCTAACCTCAATATTGCTCACCTTATTATGCCACTTCACACGGGAGATAGAACGCAGGCACCTATGATAAAAGACAGATAGTCTTTTCATGTCTTCCACTCTCAATGGCCAGGTCTCACAGCTTTAAAGGAGGACGGATCGGACTGCTGAGCAGTACACCCGCCCTTTGGTCGATAGGCGGATACCACGTCTACGCCAGAGACGGCGTAAACTGGCATATGCGAAACTAGCCCTCTGTATCCGTACTGAGATTTCGTCAGAGATCAACCAGTTGGGGATGATGCAACTTTCCAAATAAGTGAGTGAAGTGGTCAACGTGATCTACCAATTCACTCCCTATTTCTAAACTAGGAGTCAGTGTAGTCCACTCCTGTAACATCATCTTACATTTGGCGGGAGCGAATCGCATGCCAAATATTCGTAGACTGCAGCTCGAGGTGTTCAGAAGACTCTGCATTTTGTCGGCGTCTTCGCCTAGAAGGACTATATCGTCTGCATATTCTAAGTCAACGAGATAATGCCCTGATGGTAACAAGTCAATCCCTGAGTCGCTGAAGTTACTTAGGGTTAAATCCATTAGTACATCTATGATCAAAATTGAATAGAAATGCGAATAGTGGGCATCCCTGACGGACACCACTAGTTGTCACCACTTCAGATGACAACTCGCCGCAAGCTCTCAACTGGCTGCACGAGTTCGAGTACAGTGCCTTGATCAGTGCAATGTATTTTCTCACTTCTTTTACAGCCAAACATCGCCACAGTACCTCTCTGTCAAAGGAATCGAATGACGCCTTTAGGTCAAGAAATATGACAACTGTTGCACCCTCGTAAGAATGCCTATGTTCCAGAATCTGTCGAAGGGTGAAGATATAATGAATACACTCTCTTCCTGGTCAAAAGCCTAATCTGGTTCTCTCGTGTTTGTGCCTCCCGAGCACCACTTAGTCTACTCATTATTATTGAACCTAGGACTTTAGATATTATATTATTCAAGCTAATCCCTGTGATTCCAAGAGCACACGAAACCTTCCTGAGTAACCACAATCCGAAATAGGGCAAAAAAGATAGCAATGAATTAACATGTGTGGAAGTGAGAATGATAAAATGAAAATTTGTGAATATTTAAATACACCTACACCGGTGTCACACGGAACAAATTCGAATCAACACTAAGAATCTTCAACCAATGTCTTAGTATTACGCGGATTTCAGCCAAGCAACTTGCGCTTCCCAGCAAGGCTCAGAAAAACAGCTGCGTACTATGGATAGTCTCCATGATCTAGTCTAACCACCCCTGATAATGATCGTAGAGGGATACCTGGTTGTGGGTAACATGTCAACCACCTCAGTCAATAAAGATTCTCTACGTCACTAGATGGTTCGTCTTCTCAAAAAATTTTAAAAATAATTAGCACGTGTTTCCACCTAACATTAGAAATGCTGCGAAGACAATCGTAAATCTAGCATTCATGGAGTCGTTTCTCGCAGCTTTAAAGCAGAATATATTAGATTAATGTACACCATACTCATACTTGGATATGTGGGCGCTCGTTTCGTCCACTCCAGAAACAAAGTAGATAGTCAATTATACAGTTTTTCTGTATTCATCCCGAGATTGCACCAGCAACTACACAAAAAAGTGAAATGGCCGATCTATTTGATGACATAATTTCGTCATTATCAATTAACAGTTGAGACATCATATTAAACTTACTAAGGATTGACAGAGTATCAATCAGATTTTCACTTAGAGCATTCAGAATATTTCATCTTAATAATGTCTTGTTCACAAAAAACTTGATACAGACAGACCTTATGCGGTGTAGTAGGTCAATTTCTTACATGTCCAAGTCAGTAAAAACTATCATTACATCTGCTACAAGTCGAATGCAAGGCGGAGTAAAACACCGCAATGAGCAAGGTATACAATGTCAGCACTTTTTTCATAACCAGATACTACCATAATATTCTACAGCACTGAAAGAAATTACTTTCAGAATAACTAATGGAGCCAATCAATGTGACTGTCTTCCTCAGGACGTAGACGAGCGAACGAAACCGAAGTCGTGCATACATGCTTAGAATTACTCATTAATATGAAAACTTAATAGTTATGTGACAACATCAATATCCTTATATGCCAGTAAAACAACAATTATTTACCCGTTACTTACTACATTACACCAACATGGAATAAAGATATTGAACATATTATACTTACCTTAAGAGCTGCATTTTCTTTGCGAAGTGCAGATACCTCAGCCATTAACGCCTCAATATCAGCTTTTGTCATGCCAGTATCATGCACAGGTTTCTGAAAGTATTGTGTAAGTGGAATTTTTTACTCACCGATGACGTATGTTCATGTTTGCTAGCTTCTATCTTATCCTCCTAAAAACACTACATAAAAAGTAACACAACTTACGACGCCTGTATTTTTGAATATGCATTTCAAATAGTAATCTGTCACCTTCCCTTCCTTAAACAATGCCTTTTGATTAAAGTTTTAGAAATAAAATCCTACTGTTTGATCTTTCTTTGGATCTAACCCTTCTGAGCCGACAACCGATTGAATTAAGATCCTTTCGCGACTTTTCGCCATGAAGTCATAATCATGGGGTCGGAAAACAACTAGAAAAGTTACTACTAATATAGACACTTACCGGACAGCTCAGAATTCGCACCAGGCGGTAATACGCTAGTACTAGGAGTAGCCGAAAAATATTCGGGGGATGATGCACTAATCTTAAAGCAGATATATTGTGAAGAAGGGTTGGTTAGTTTTATGATAGAGGTAACGGGTTTTACAAAAGGACCTAAGAAAATCAACACAAACTGAAATGCTGACTTGCCTTCGAAGACCAGATCTCGACTAGGTTCGACAAGTAGTTCGTCGGGCATACGCAAGAGACAAAACAGACGTGAATCCATGAGTTTGCTACGTGGAGCATCTTTCCACTTAGGAAGTAAGGATTTAGGTACTTCGTAGAACTTACCAGGAGTTCCATGGAAGGCCGGGGGCCATCGGGAACAACAATGGACTGAATCATAAACTTGTGATTGAATTTCTCAGCAGCATTATAACTGAACGGCTGAAGCATAACTAAAGACATAAAGAGTTATATCCTAACTAACCTGCAACGTCTATCATCTGATGTGGTTCAATATATCCATTGCTTGGCTTTACACAGTAGCATTTTGGTACAGTTGTTTTTATCTTGAAACCAACAACCTTATCCAGAGGATTCCTCATTTTGATGTGAGAAGTTATCACATCGGTGAAGGGACCTAAAGAAAACCCCAGTTAATTCGGCGTCAAGCGAAGGCAGCAAACAAGATAAACAAAGAAACGACATGTATACAGGACACACCTACAAATATCAGCTCATTTTTCGGCTCAATCTCCAGCACTTGCGTAGGACCACCAGACATTTGTACAAAAACCCTTAGGACCGTGAAACCGAAAGTTGCCACCCACCAACTCAAATCCGTGCGCAATAGCTATGACGAGGAAAACACCAGCAATAGTGAGTCAAACTAGATAAATCACGATGATTATAATAATAAATTTTCGACATTGCATCATCCATGTCTGAAACACACTGAGTTCAATGTTCAATTGAGTCCGGTGACTGGTTAGTTTGATTACATACGTAAACTGCTGCTAATATAGGAAAAACGTTAATCGGTATAATTTCTCTTTCCATATAGGGAGGAATTTTGCATTAAATATAGATACAAGATGAAAAAGAAGACTAACGAAAGTCAGACTGGTAAATTTTCGAATCTTTAATTCTTTTGGATTTGTCTAAATATGTAACCCTTGAGTATCATAGAAGTCCTTGTTTCGTCTCTTGTCTGACTCTCAGCTTTTGATCTCAAAATTCAGTGTCATCAGAATAAAATTCAAAGCTGTTTATTGAACTACTCATCCTACTAGGGAACGTTTACATTTAATGGATGTGCCCTCACTATATTTCATTCCCTTTCTTTGAACGCAGCGTAGGATCACTAAACCTGCTAGGTACTCGCCAGTGGCTTTAACAGATGCATTGTCTTACAACAGCCACAAAGCATTCAGTTTTAAATATGATGAGTTGAAGTGGAGTTAATGTGTGAAAATCAACTTAAGGTCATAAAGACTGATTATAAGACAGTAAGTTGTAGAACATGTATATGTGAATTTCTATATAAGGTTTGCTAATATACTGCGCCACTGGCTGGTTTCGGAGTAAATCCAGTTGAGCAGTCAGATAAAAAGGATACTCAAGCGAGGGACCAAGTTTTCATTATTACTCTTAGTGTTTTCATTTTGTGGACCATCATGTTATGACCATTTGTACATACGCTTTTGCGAAAGGTTCCAGAGGAAGTCTACTTAGTTATAGGTATGTCAGTTCAACACTTTCATTTGATCAATGGAATGCCCAGATAAACAACGCTAGTTATTATGACAATGAATTAACAGATTATTATTATTAGAATAAATGAGGTGCTTTTCGAACCGAGTCTCAGTTTTGTGACCCACCAAGGGATAATCTAGTTATGATTTTGACAATAAAGTCCCAAATCAAAACCTAGAAACCTATCCAATATAAAAAGTAGTGACGATGAGACAAAGCTTGGCTTGGATACAGCAACATACATTTTTCTGAATAGTTGGCGAAGAAGGATAAAATCAGCTGGGCGTTAGTTTTTGTATTCATGTGGTATCTAGAAAAATCTTATGTAAAGACCATAATGAAAACATTTCGTCCCTTACTTAATAAGGGTTGACTAGGTTTCCTTTAGAGCATATCCATTTTTAGCCTGAGGTACACTAAAGTAGCTGAACAGTCACAGTCATTATTGAAGTGCGGTATGAGCAAACGTCAGTATATTTGGGGCTCCCATGACGAGGGGTGTTATGGCCATTCAGATTTGGTGAGTGACCGAAGAACTCACAAGGATTGGACAAGTAACCTATTGAGGACTATGTCTTCATTAGTTGTAAAGCTTCTGCCAATAACTGTGTCGGGGAAATTTACTGTAGCCAGAAGAAAAATCTCCGGAACTCAGAATGCTATTTTACCCACATAACAACCAACTCGATTTCACCACAAGCAGTATTAATAGACAGACGTTAAATGGGAGCGTAATTGATGAACCAAGTACAATCCAAGATAGCAAGTTAGTTAGATAGAAGGTTGACTACGTAGTTCACAGGTGGTTACTATCAATAATAACGATGTAAATTTTCACATAAACATAAATTTACATGAAAATGCATGCCATTTTTACAGGCACGATCAAGTATGATAAAATGTCAAATAGTAGATTGTCTACAAGTTAATGTTTGAACAGCTAAATATTTGATACATATATATAATTACACTCATAGTCTGAACCAGGCCGTATCATTATTGAATTGAACAGTAGTCCTCCAGGTTGCGCGGGAAAATCGACTTCGTTTAGTTTTCGACCCGTCTTTGTAGGCATACGATAACCAACCAATGTTGAGGTAATTACAACGCTTACAAGGGATAGTAAGCTGTTTTAGAAAAGTAAAGGTGCTAAGGTGAATCATTAAAGTGTAATGAAATAGGTAAATGCAATGTATCATTAATAGATGCATTCATGAAGGAAATACAATGGGAGACTATAATCCCTAGGCTGATAAAGTTTATTTGCACTGTATAATGCTACTCATATAGGTCTTACAATCATGATGTCCACTTTTGGTTTTAATACAATTATCCACAAGCCGGTTGTTTTTATTTCATACCTTTTTGTGTATTTGGTGCACAACCGTACATTATAGAGAACATAAATCGAATAAGTCGAATCAAATTCATAAAGAGCTATAAAATGTTAGGTTTAATGGAATATAATGAGCAATTGAAGATGTTGTTAGAAAATGAATGAGATGAGACATTGTGAAGTGGTATTCAAAGTTTCGACATAGGAAAGCATGTTAATTTATAAGATGCTCCATAAATCTGTGCAGAGCCCACGTGGTCGCATCTCAGCAATAGGCTGACCGAATGGTATATGTTCAAAGGCAGAAGCATGATCTGTCTAGGCGATCATTATTATATTTTTATCCGGTGGGTGTTTAAGTCATGATAGGGACTGTCACATCCGATGAGCAGGAAACGGGTTAGAATAAACAAGTTTATTAAACGTCTAGTAAATGTTCGCTATCACCGACAGTTTCCTTTGTCTACCGAATGATGAATGCCAACTCCATTTGTTTTACTAGGTTTTTCCGCTTCACTTGCTTTATGCTGCGCTCTCAAAAATAGCTGCTTAGAAACACTATCGGTCCAATACATAGTTACGACCTGTTGGTCGGTAATTTGAGTAATTATTCGGTTAGCAAAGTCCTTCCACAAATAATTTCTCATAATAAACCCAGTTTACGCTTCAGGCTTCGGAGCTTAATAAAGGAATTAATTTGTTATTTTTAGGTCTATGGAATATTAGTATAGAAATTCCTTCTGACGCCTTCAATCCTATTGTCTTCCTGATATTTAGAGCAGAGCCGGGGACTAGACTGACCTTCGACGATTTTGTTTTACCATCCGGCTTTAAATGGAGGCTAAACATATATGGTTCACTGCACATGTTAGGAAATCCTGCAGTGCTATGAATGCGACTTCCAAAAATGAGGGTCGTGTCACCCTATATCCCGCATCCAGTTATAAGCCTGACATCCATGTTCTCAGAAATCAATTGTTGTTACAACTTTCAGGTCTTGGCAGAGGGAATCTTAGACGACGTGGCTCTTCACGTCCCTAGAGTCGTTTTCAATATCAGTTGGCAGCGTTGTGAAAACCCAGCTTTTTCGTTGCCTAAAAACTTGCTTCTCATTTTGCATAGACGGACCCAATTTTTTAAAGTATTTCTACTTGTTTGCATTAGACTTATGGAAGATCTAGTCAAAAAGTGTTCTGAGGTGACTTTGTTCCTGCCATAACTTGAGGAACAAAACAAAATTGGAGAAGATGCAAAATAGCTGCATATATTCGTAGTATGAGAATTCAAAATTATGTAAAACGCCTTAGAATACGAAAGCGATCTCTGATAGATCAAGTGAGTGTTATCAGCTACACGCGAAAAACCGATGCACTTAACGACTATGAAGGTGATCAAGTGGTAGATACCTAAGTGGTCTCAGTAGAGCCTACCACACGTTTTTAAGATAACGAATATTTGTACCAAACTACCCAAAGAATTACCAGCTTCATGATGCAAAACTGCCATACCAAGGTCTGTCAAATTTCCTAACATCAGCCCTCCCAAAATTCTACCAACCCGCATTTGAAGTAAATTCTCTGCAAAATAGCGGTGCCATAAGGGAAGCTATTTTCTGGCTTTACTTGCTGTCATATTCCCCTGTAAGTATGTTTTACAAGACATCGCGCCAGTGTTGTTTGATTTAGCTGGCTCTGTGCCGAAAATAATTGTCCCAAGTATTTTTGTATAGACAGATTATTGGACACACGCCATTTCGTTGTTTGCATTTCTCTCACCTACCTGATGACTTGGAATTCAGTTGGTTGTTGATTATAAAAGTATCGATTATTCAATCAATGTAACCTGCGCCTCCCACTGTCGAATATATCTAAGCTGTAGACGCGCAATTTTCGTACATAGTTCTTCGTTGGTTGTTACGAGGTAACAAACGCACTCCACCCCAGCGGGCATTTATACCCTTATGGCTTCTTATGTCACGTATTTGGTGTTGTCGTGTCGTCGTTGTATATGGTATTGCGAATAGTAATCAGCACAGTCAACTCAAGAAGTACCAGGTGTCTATGTGGCCATAACAAATATATAATTCAATGCTTGCCCCACTGTGCCCTGGTTACTGTATTATTTGGGGCATCAAATGTTTTTAAAATTAATTTCAACAGCATAACATGTGAACGGATAGAGAAACACTGCTGTATTGACTGCCTAGGACGCAGAATAAGACCGGAATTTAATAATGTTTGGGATCCTAAAATCGACGGGCACTTCAGAAAATTAAAAGTTATTTTATATTTGCAAATGGACTGCTCATCAGTGCTGCCATGGGCATTTACGTAATTTTATAAATAACATACCTGTGGAAGATCAAAAATATTCTCGCTAGTGTACTACTGAAGTGGGAGAATAAAGGTACAGGAGAAATGAATAAGTCAACACAAGGAATATCATGAAAAATCAGCGACACAACAGCTCTACCATAAGTCAGTACATAAGGAAGCCCACGTAAGTCCTCATGGACATAGCACACTAAAAGTAGCGGCCTGTGTAGGTCACGCCCTGCTGAAGTGAAAACAAAACGATGAAGAATTATCTAATAAAAAATGTAAAATATTAACTCAGCACGGCAGCCCTCCTGATACGTTTGTAGATTAAACAAATTCCTAATTTTAATCGAATCTAATGCAGCAATCAGTTTGTTTATTCTAGGACTTCTCAGCTTGGCGTGATCCGTGTTGATTCAGTCAATCTTGATCGAAATCGTCACTCAATGTTCGTCATGCTACATCAGCGTGTTTCCTGCTACTAGCGCCACGACACACGGCCTGGTTAAGTCTTGGGCCACTAAAAATCCATCCATCAAGCTACTGCATCTAATTTCGTGTGA